AATCGCGTCCTGCTCCGTCTCCGTAGCGACGACTATCTTAAGTCCTAATTCGCCAGGTCTAGGCTATATAACGTCGACCTCCGATGCGAGTTGCTTGTATAACCGACGAAGCTGTTCGGTCGTGAATGTCGGGCGGCTCTCCCCGTCTTCCTATATCGAGGTNAGGCGGTTAAAATCTGCCGTCGCCCTTATAACGTCGGAGTTAAGTTAGAGTGCGAGATTCTCCTTCTGTTCTAAGGTGAGAGTTGGATGTGCGGCGATTTCCTCTTTAAGAGCATCTCTCTAGCGAGCTTTAGTGTCAATGAAGGAAAAGTTGTCGTCGGACAACTTATTAGCCACCGGCTCGCCATCTTAACCGGTAAGGTCGTCGTCGGTTAGGTAGTACACTACTGCTGCCTTTTGAGTTTAGGGGTTCTTTGCGACCGAGGTAGACTGGCGTAGCTGCTTCCTCTCTCTAGCGACGAACTGGAGGATCTCTAAGCCACGGCTAACGTCCTCTGTAAGGTATCTAGCGAGGTAGTCCTATAGGTCGACATTAAACGGGGCGTTTTCGGGAGTCTTCTAGAAGATTCCGTCAGGACTCTTATCAAGCAGTACCCTTACGGCTCTAACAGTTACAAGATACATGTCCTACGATGTTAGAGTGGGGCCGGTGAAGCCGACGTCGACTAGGGAATCGGCAGCAAATATGCCGGCGTTAGTACTGAACGTCTTTATAAAGGTCTTCTTCTCGAGTGGCAGACTGCGACCCTTCGTGTGCCATTTGCTGTCTTCGCGGATGGTACACTAAGGCAGGATGGCCAGGATATACCATAGAGCAGCTGCGTCGAATGCGTATTTACGAAGTTGCTTAGTGTCCTTAAAGTTGAGGTAACTAGCGAGTGCGCTCCGGCTCGAGTAGAATTCGCCTTGCTTTACCGGGTATACTGCTCTAACACGACAGTCGTTAAACATTGCCTTGACGGTCTCGATAAGTTCAGGGGCGGGCTTCTATGCCGAAGCAACCTCTCTAGTGGCCGGCTGCTTTGCCGGCTTAGTCTTGCCGGTCGTCTTCTTAGCTATCGGTACGTCGCTAGGGCTAGGGCTAGGGCTGGCGGTGGTGGGCTTTTTAGCGGTGGTAGGCTTTTTAGCAGTGGTAGGCTTTTTGGCGGCGGCCTTGGTTGTAGCCTTGGCTTTTAATATGGTTGCTGTGATGGGATGTGATTTGGGATGACTGAATCTATAAAGAAGGCATAGTAGTTAGATTAAGGGGGGGAAAGGTTATCGGTAGACAACTTTTGTAATTAATTGTAAGAGACGAAAGGAAAGGGACGATAGAGTGGAAAAAGAGAGACATAGTGCTAGACGTAGCCTTAAGGTAGCACTACGCCTAAACGACTCATAGCTAGCGAGACTCTTACGGTTAACGCATAGGATCTGAGACCTGCAGCAGACGTATCGAAGTTAGGCAAGACATATATAATCTTGCCGCTTAAAACTGCGCGGAGTGCTTCTATAGATGGGATGCTGCCACTTACCTAGTAGGTCGTCTTTTTCTAGGAATGGCCTAAGTTTAGGAAAGGTTGTCCTCGGATAAGTCGATCTAGCTTAAAAGAAGTTGTCCGCGGACAGAATTTGCTACTCTAATAGCGCGGAAATAATGTAGTGGAGGATAGAAGAGACGGAGGTAGAGGGGGGGCTAGGTGGGTTATATACTAATCAGGTTAGTATAGGGACCTCCGAGTTCGTACGGGGAAATAAAGCTATCGATCACTTAAAGTAGTGAATTCGAGCAATAATCCAAGTGAGGAGAGCAGATTCGTGCTTCGGCGCAGGTGAAAGTGGTAATTTCGAGCAAGATTAGAGGTGTAAACAGTAAATCGGAGCTGGATATCTGCGCGTAGGCGGCTGCGAATTTATGCGAGAAATTAAGTGAGGAAGGTGAATTCGTGCCAAAGCGTAAGTAATAACGGCAGATCCGAGCAGGAAGTAATATATAGATGGTGAATTAAAGCTGGATATTCGTGCGCGTAGGTAGTAAATCAAAGGTGGTGCGGGCGGAAGTGACGCGCAATTCGATTGTTTGTTGTATGCGCTGGAAAATTGATGCTTAGGGGGGAGACCCTAGTCGACTACATAGAGTGAAACGCGAGTCTCGATTTTGTCTACCGACAACCTTTTCTATTAAAATTTAAGAGCGTCGCTATATGTAGTTAGTGTTAAGCATATAGTTGTTAAGCGACGAGTTGTCGGCCGACAACCTTTTCCTCCAAGATTCGGAAGTATCGCCGTAGTTAATCAGCATTAGCCGTATAATTATCAAGCGATAAGTTGTCCGCGTTCAACTTCTTGTAACTCTCGACCCCGATT